AGCGAATTTACAAGAAGAAACCATATTACTCTCATGCCTTCCTCATCAGTAGTATCACCATTACACACCTTCCCCTTCATATATATATATATATGTATATATATGAACGGATCAAGGTCGCAGAAGCTAGACAGTCGATGGCAAGCTCAGTTTGTCGTTACCGACCGCCGGGGGAACGTCTATACAATTCAGGATGGTCGGGGATCGAAAAGAGTAAATGGGACGCAGCTTCGTAAGCGGCTGAGTAGACCCGCTGCCAAAGCCAATCTGACGGAAATAAATGAAAATCGATGGCGTGTGAACGACCTTTAAAGAGGGAAGGTGTGCAACGGTGATACTACTGATGGGGGAGACATGCGAGTAGTATGTTTTTTTCGTAAATTCGCTTTGCATCTCTTGAAAAGGGAGATATATTACGGAATTCGTGGAGTCGCTTTGTAGCATTTGCTTGGATTTGAGCAACAGTCAACGAATATCCAGGAAATTTCATGAAGACGCGTTCAGGAGAAGATGGAGGTCCAGTTTTTGTAAATAAGTTGCAAATGACAGTTTTGCTTCCCTGTCCAATAGTCTGTAACTTTTCAGTTAGTGTTTTCTAATAAATAACGCCACATCGAAGGCCTTCTTCCTTTTATTAATATATATATATATATATATCGTTCAGGTGTAAGCTAGCGGTGCGTAGCTATCAAGCCACCCGAAGGAAACACGAGGACTGGGATTCTACTAGGTTGCCCAAGCCTATACAGGGGAAGTTGGGAGGCACAGGTTGGGTTCGAACCACGGACCTTCCGGTCAGTAAATTCGCACTCTAACCACTGAGCCATATCACCCCTTGGTCGGTTTAAGCTGGATAGAATAAAACCTGGAGAAGGCGTGCATTACCGATAAACTGATAACTGTATAAGTTGAGGAGAGTGAGAACATGAGATGCGTAATGTATGCACCGGATGGATTTCTGGTCCACACCAGTCGCCAGCCATACCAAAATAAGACTTATGTAGCAAATTATGGCAGAATGTGACGCAAACTGGTCCAAATTAGGGCCGTCACATGAAGCCAATTCCAACAGCACCACAGATATAGCAAAGCCAGGCGGGTGTGGAACAATATATACATAGGGTACATGCAAGATACTGTATAATTTCAGCGGTTCAATTACTGTGTTCCCATGAACCAAGCTCACGTATCGATACGAAGCACCAAAACTGTTGTACGTCCAGATCTGCTCCTCACATGGTAAACGCAACCGCCGACGTAAAAACCGTTCCTTGAGGTGCTGATTTCAAAAGTGCATGCTGCTCTATGGATATTTGGGGAAAGGAAAGGCTTAAATTTGGCATTCACCTACCAAATACTCGCAAGTGCCACATGTGAGGATCTGGCCACAACAATAGTTAGTGGAGCCTGCCAGTCGACCGACTTCCTCGAAGGGCTCTTTTTGCACAACCACGTGAAGAGTGGAAGAGAGTCAGAGAGGGTCAAACAATGACTTGGCAGCGAAGTATAAAAGCCATTAGCAGCTAACTCGGTTGCACTGGTCATAGCTGTCTTCCTGGATGGGGACCCCGAGACGGGCCACATCAGTGACTAGAGACATTGCCAGACATGGTCCAGTCGCGCCCTCAATGGTGCTTGTGAATTCAAGCTATTGCCTGCAATGTATAGCTCCCTTCCCAATCCCCCCACTTAACAGTTTCGTTTTCACGCACCAATTTATCAACTCCCGCCCCCAATGCGCAACTACCTACTCCATCTATCTCCGGTGAACAAAACCGTGGCAACTACAGCCACTGTACGACAAGTAAACAGTCCTTACAGCTGACAATGATGATGGGGAGAGCCTGTTGTGGTACATACATTGCGAGGTTTTGACATGAAATTTTCTACGGAAAATCTTAGGCCCTGGTCGGGCTTTGCGAAAGTCGCGACTCTTTGATAGTTTGACCAACGATTTCCAGTGCACGATCGAACTGGTGCTCGCCTAGCTTTAGCAGTGATCTACGTTGTTCAGCTCTAGTACCCTTCCGGTGCCTAACTACCATGATACCCGAAGGAGAAACGAGGGCTGGGATACTGCCAGGTCGCCCAAGTCTAGACAGGGGAAGTCGAGAGGCAGAGGTCGGGTTCGAACCACGAACCTTCCGGTCAGTAAATTCGCACTCTAACCACTTGGTCCATCTCACCCCAGTGATCTGCGAAATTGGTTCTGAACAAACTGTGATGAATATGGCTTACTATGGAGCTTACAAGGCTCGAATTCAGCAACTGTTCAGTGAACACTTCTTTGTAGACAAATCAGGACTGGAATGAGCTGAGTTGAAACAAAGAAAACAAACAAACAAAGAAAATTGTCTGGCGTCTGTCGTACCCTCACGGAAATTGACTTGAATTGAAAGGCAGCATGATGTTCGCTCATTCATCCAGTGATTGAGGGGAAATTTCAAGCGAAACGATGCTCACCACACCCATTCCTGTGCCTGATTGACTGAAAAATTAGGCGGGTCGATAAGTCACGTGGGTTCGAACCTCATTTAACCAGCTGCGATTGATAACGCTGTGACCTGTGTGGACAACAACAAAATGCACAAAGAAAGCCAAAACGAACCAGCTACCCAAGAAATTCGGAACGATGAAGTTGGGCAGACAGAAAACCAATTGTTCTCCGGACACATGCCAAAGAATCATGTCACACTAACAGCCATCTCTAATCGATACATGACAGAAAATGATTGGATGGATGATATGGTATATCGGCCTAAAATGCGCCGTAAGCGGATGGAAGATCCATTGGATGTGAAATATCCGAAAGGATCAGACTGGAATGTGAGCAATATTCAACCCAATGAGCACGCACCTGAGTTACACGATGAAGAAGTAGCCCAACGTGAACTTATGGCTCAAAACAAAGCAATATATCGGTTGGATCGCACGGCATGCTGGCTTCTCCCCTGCGCTTGGTTGTGCAAACTGTTGAATATGATCTTCTGCACGTACAAAATTGAAATTGGTGTTCCGGGAAAGTTGAAGAAAGCGGTTGGTGATCCGACCAAAATGCTGCGACAAAACATCTACGGTCTGATAATGGGAATCCTGACAGGATTCTTCCTGTTCCTAATGTTTATTTTCACATTCAGTAACAATCCACGTCTGTCCACCTTACTCAGTGCATATGTTATGCTAATTTCGGTTTTCGGGATAGCCTTTTCCGAGGACTTTCGTTGTATCGCACTGTTAAGTCTACCCTATCTCGTCGCAAGTCGCTTGCGATGGCTACTCATGTTGTTTGCAACCGCAGCGTCCCTTAGTGGTCCAGGACTGAATTTTCTCCACAATTCGGGTAACTTTCGAAACTCTATCGCCTGTATTCTTGCACAAGTCAGTACGAATATGCTACTGATACAGAAACTAACAGCAGCACCGTTTTCTTTGCTCAAAAACCAGCTGGAGTCGTTGATTGAGGGACTGAATGAGACTTTGAACAAAATGCGTGATTCATTGTCGAGAATAAATTTTTCTCTGTTGAAAGTGACCAGTGTGATGCAACAACAATCCAGTTGGATCGTCTCGCTGGTCGACGCGTGCGGTGACCCGATTTCGCTGAAAAATCAATGTCTCTCGTTTTTGAACAATATCTACTTTAATTGTCGATCTTCCATGGGACCGTTTGCCTTTCTTTGTGGTTTGGTACGTCAGTTCGCGGCCGACACGTGCACCGGAGACATTGGTGCTACTCAACTGTGTGCCCAACAGAAGGAAGTATTACAAGACAAGCTAGAAATCGATTCCAAAGAAACTCTGAATCGAAAGCTGGATAATATATTGACTTTGTTGGGGAAAACAAACCTATCGTTGCAAGGAAACTTTGATCAGTACGAGAAACTGACCATTGAGAGCGATAACACAGTATTGTCCATACTACAGCAACGTATGGACTCGTTTATCAGTATGGTAGAGCATGGAAAATATATTTTGACCTGGATTTTGGTGATATGGACACTACTGACAATGCTTCAGTTGGTCGTACAAGCGGCCATCTTTCGAAAAAGCTGGATTTACCGAGATACCTTTGATAACTACTATATAACGCCGGCTTTTGTGCAACAAGTACGTATGACTGCTTGTTTTGAAAAAAGATTGCCAAGCTCGAACGACTGAGGTATGTTTTGTTTCATACCTGACCAGGTATTTTTGAGACGGACTGAGTAGTAAGACAACCTGGTCATCTCGTTAATCTTGCTAATTTGAGACACTTATGGCGTCAGAATAGTTTATCTCTGAATCTGAAGGGACGTGTGTATCAAGCTGTAGTGCGGGCTATTTTGTTGCACGGAAGTGAGACTTGGCCTATTCCAGCACCGGACCTGAGACGTCTTCAGGTGTTCGACAATCGCTGTCTCAGAACCATAGCTCGTGTGGGTTGGTTTCGGCGAATCCTTAATGAGGCAGTTAAAAAGCGCGTTTTCGGTTGTGCAACGGATATTTCCATTTAAGAATGTGTTCAGCACCAGAAACTGCATTTGGGACATGTGTTACGTATGCCGAACCATCGTTTGCCGAAGAGAGTACTGCTTTCCACGCCCAACTCAGAGTGGCGTAAAACAGAGAGGTGGCCAACCCTTGACTTGGCAGTGAGGTATGAAGGAGATCACGAAACGCTTGGGTGCTGTCGGTGCTACTCGCCTTCCAGGGTGGGGACCGCGTGATCCTCATTGTGCCCGGTCGGAGATACGATAAGATATGGCTTCCAACCGATGTCAGTGGCGTTCTTGTTGTCAGTTTCTATCCAGACAGCCTGAGTGAGTGTCTGGAGGTGTAGGCACCTCGCAATGATTGTGGTAAGCTGGCACTATCCCTCCCCCATCCACCTTTATTCTTTTCTTTACAATAAGGCTTTCAAATAAACCATGGTTGCACGGCAGTAAAGCATCGGTGTTGAACACAGATGTCATGCTGTCGATGATGATGATGTTAGCCTTTTTTTACAGATAATTCAACATCATAGGTCTAACTCGTGTCACCCACGCCCATTCCTTACAAGAAATCACCGTTTTGCTAGATGATTTTGAGATTTCCTTCAATAGATGGTGTTTCATTTAAAGGGACATTGGTGTGTTTGTATCGGAAACAAACTGGGATATTGATTCTTGAAAAAAGCAGATAGTGTTATCGGGATAGGGGCCAAAAAGTTGAAATGCTGATCACTCTGGTATCCGTGATACAGAGGGGCTACTCGTCAGCACATTTCCTGGAAATTAGCAGCAATGGTTGAAGGTTATTCACATCAAGGTCCACTACTTGGTACGAGCGTACACGCCACATTCTACCAGGATTCATCAGGCTTCATTTTATTGAAGCGTACGTAGATTCTGGAAGGAATTTTTTCCCAGGGCTGTGTGATAACCTGAGCAACACTTGAGATCGAAGTAGACTTGTTCGTATCTCACCGTGAGCTACCACGTGAGCGTTTTGATAAATCAAACGCAATGACTTGGTCATCAGTTGAAAAAAATCTCGTGGGAAAAAAAGCGGCGTTTACAGCAGCGTAGGAGTTGAACAAACGAGGAGAAGGAAACGAAATAGAGGAAATTTGCGCTTCAGAACACTTCGCCGTCGTCAAACTACCAGCCGGAGGTCGCGGGTTCGAACCCCCCTCCACAGGAATTCAGTACGTAGATTGCCTTCACTGATACTGTTAAATTTAACCACCAGCGTCGCGGGTTCGAACCCCCCTCCACAGGAATTCAGTACGTAGATTGCCTTCACTGATACTGTTAAATTTACCCACTTGTTTTGTTGATCCTAGTGTGAACTTCGTTCCTCCACTTGCTTACGATTTCCACAAACGGTACATTTTCCAAGTCGACTTGATATCCGACCGATTTGTCAATTACACCGATGGCTCTAAGTAGTTCAATTATGTACGGCAGTAAGTGTTGTATCGTGGGTGGCTGTCTATGGGTTACGCCTGCAGTGAGCTGCCAGACTACGCGATAAGGAGAAGACAGAGAACCCGGGACACGGGTACATTGTCAGGTCAAAGCATACAGAGCGTTTGCGTAGATACGTAAGATGACTAAATGGCCAAGTATGGTCGTTCACTTGTTCGTTCTGTACAGCCAATGGCGGTGTTCCGGTCGTGAACAGTCTCAGGCCCACTCAGCTGGTCGTATGTTGCTAAGCCGCGGTTTGGTGAGAGTCACCAACTCACCTACTTTCCGGACGTGTCAAACCGATGGTGACCTTGGGGATGCGTCACTCTCTGCACATGTACTTTTTGCATGTCTGGGGGCGTCCTGACGATGACAAGGAAATCGGTCTTGGAGCAAAAGCGGGTCAACCCGACATCTTCGTCCAATGCGACGAAGTCACCTCTTGACGTAAACCGCAGCGCTGTTGCGTATGAATGGTACATTTTCTAATATACATCGAGTGTCAGGTGTTTTGATATAAAAAGTACGAATTATATTAACCCTCGGTTGTACTAATTCGTCTAATCGATAACCTGAAAACACCTCAAATCCAACCGGAAGTGCGGGTCTATTTACCAACCTGTTAAGTCATCAAGAGTCTTGCTGGCTAGCTGAATTGAACAGGCTTTTATGAGACCAGCTCTACTTATGGTTTAGTGACAACCACAGCGGTATCCATGGGAAGATGACAAACTTTCCGATACACAGTCTGGAGGACTGACTACGCAGCAAGCGTAGAAACCACCGCTCCAAAAAGAGATGAAAGCCTTAAATTTTGATCAAGTCATGCCATTTCGTTATTTTTCTACCTCTCAACCCAGATAATGACCGAGGTCTTTTGTTGTCACGAAATAGTCAAATACGAATTGTTGCGGGCTGCGGAAAAGTTGTCAGCAACCTTATGAGTAGTATGCTTCATCTAGACAAAATATTGTTCTCCGGTGGGACTGAGGTTTCTGAAAAATCCGATGCGAACTCTAGGACTCCTGATTTTGCTGAACCCCCTCGGATCTCATGGCAAACTTGAGCTGGCTTCGTGGAAAAGTCACGTCGCACAAATTTGACAAGTTACGGTAAGTTCACACTTCATCACAATGTATTTGGTAATAAAATGATCAAGATGGTTTGGGGGAGGGGCAGCAACCATCATCATCATCATCATCATCGACAGCATGACATCTGTGTTCAACACCGATGCTTTACTGCCGTGCAACCATGGTTTATTTGAAAGCCTTATTGTAAAGAAAAGAATAAAGGTGGATGGGGGAGGGATAGTGCCAGCTTACCACAATCATTGCGAGGTGCCTACACCTCCAGACACTCACTCAGGCTGTCTGGATAGAAACTGACAACAAGAACGCCACTGACATCGGTTGGAAGCCATATCTTATCGTATCTCCGACCGGGCACAATGAGGATCACGCGGTCCCCACCCTGGAAGGCGAGTAGCACCGACAGCACCCAAGCGTTTCGTGATCTCCTTCATACCTCACTGCCAAGTCAAGGGTTGGCCACCTCTCTGTTTTACGCCACTCTGAGTTGGGCGTGGAAAGCAGCACTCTCTTCGGCAAACGATGGTTTGGCATACACAACACGTGCTCCAACCAATGCAGCTTCTGATGCTGGACACATTCTTCAATGAAAGAACCCGCTGAACAACTGAACACTTGCAACTGGTGGTGGCTTCAGAGCTAAGACGCAAACTTCTCCTGAATTGAGTCGAAACAAACTGTGACACCGCACCACTTCCGCTCCGCGTTTTGTCACTCAAAGTCTGAGAAATTCCCTTTTCCTGTTTCTCTACTACCCCAGGAAAAACGAGCCATGATCCAAGGACTAGTCCCAACCATCCCGCTCGTGAGGGGCGAGACCAAACGTTACAAGAAATTCAGTAGCTTCACTTGGACCGTTTCGGAAAAGAAGAAAGCTTTCAAATCGTTCATCCTCTTGTTCATGTGGATGGGTGTGATGCTGATCGTCACATTCGCCGACTACGCCATGTATCAGATTCTGATCACCATCACACCCGTGTTCTCCACTGATTTTTCAACTAACGGAGCACGAGCTGCCATGGGGCAAGACTATGAGATAAACGAGAGGCTGGAGTCCACACCAAGGGTTCACGGTGAATCGTCCTATGCAAATATTGTGCGCGCATTGTTGGGCATGTTGAATCCGATCCAAGATGTGGCCATGAATGTGGACGCGACGGCATGCAAACCGACCGCGTCGCCGCCGAACAAAGCTCTAAACGGATTGGTTTACGGACTTCTCGGGCTTACTATATTGTCCATATTTTTCGAGGTGAGTGATTTCACGGCGACCTCAAGGCAAGTTTGATAATCTCGTGTTGACCATGTGTCCTTCGTAAATGTCCTTTTTCATGACCAACCATGTTGTGTACTTGTGCACTTGTCACTAGAAGGATGAGTGAGAGGCCACCAGGTTGCCCAGGGGCAGTCGGTGCCCGGGGTCGGGTTCGAACCACGGACATTCCGGTCAATAAGTTCGCGCCTGAACCACACAAAATAGCTAGCATGACCACCCTCGTAGGATGAGCATCAAATGAATAGTTCGTTACAGTATTCATTATAAGACGTAAGCTTAAAGGATACTGCAGCTGATAGTGATCAGGTTCGAACCCAATCTCAGCATTCTGACTACTTCTGTCTGGAATTAAGCAGCCTGGCAGCTACGAACCGGAAAGGTGTTTCAGCTGAATGCTTCTTATCCTCACACTGGCCAAAAAGATACCTGATCTTGTGTGTTATGTGTTTAACCGGATGAAACCAGTGAACAGTAGTCACAAACAAGATACCGTTTTAACTCACAGAAAAGAAAAAATGGGTTTATCTGTAGCACTCTTCCGGTGCCTAGCTGCCATGCCACCAGAAGGAAGCACGAGGGCTGGGATACTGCCAGGTTTCCCAAGCCCAGACAGGAGAAGTCGAGAGGCGGAGGTGGGATTCGAACCATGGACCTTCCGGTCAGTAAATTCTTGCTCTTACAACTTGGGTCATCTCGCCCCCTAACTCGCAGGCTCAATCCAAAGGTGTAGTGTTTGGTCAACAAGGTGCGTAAGTCGATGAGAAAAGGAGAGAAGAGGATGAAGCGGAAAGCCGTTAGGATATGTTCAGACACCCGCTTAAATGACCGCTTCGTTGGTTCACTGATATACCTGTCCCCGGAGGAACAGCTACACTGACAGACACAGGGGTCGTTTTTTGGAAAGAAATTTTGTCCTCCATACTGATGACAAGGTGAGTTGTGGAGATGACCTTCATCTAGGCGACAGTGACGGTTTTCTCATAAAAGAATTGCACTGGTTGGTCGACCTTCGAAAGGCAACCGGAGACATACTGTACGCCGCATATTTGAGAGGCGTGGGTTACCAGTAAACCCAGCTGTACTGGTCATTGCCGTCTTCCTGGATGAGGACCCCGAGACGAGTCATATCACTGGTTAGAGACATTGTCAGACATATCCCGGTCGCGCCCTCAATGGTGCTCATGCATCCAAGCTATTGCCTTCAATGCATAGCTCCGTTTTGAATACCCCCCCCCCACTTAACACCTTTGTATTTTACGCACAAATTATCAGCTCCCGCACCCAATGCGCAGCTACCCACCCACCTTCCCAAACCATCGTTGGGCGAAACTGTGGCGGTTACAACCACTGTACGACAAGTAGCGGTTATTACAGCTGACAATGATGATGATGATGATGACTTAGTCAGAGTGTCACCTGATCAAACATTCATGGTCCCATCGTAGACAATTTTCGCCTCAGTCTGAATAGGACGGTCCATGTGGGCTTCGTCGAATTTGTCTGTATTGCCCTCAAACCATCGATGTGTTTCTGAAAAGATGAAACGAACGCCCAAGTCCATATGCAGCTCAATTTTTCGGATAGACCCTTTTCAAAGTAGTCAGGATAGATACCACACACGGACGCAACGCCAACTCACCGATGATGTCACCTCAGTTGGTGATAGAAGAACACACTGCAGTAGTCAGAAGGCATGACCGACTGTCCCTGGTTTCCAGATCAAGGAGGATACAAATTCAAACTAGGAAACACGGAGATCTTGGTACGCGAAAGTGTTCGACAAGCATGGGAGTGCCTTGAAACATGATGCACCGCCAAAAACAACCAAACAACATTTATAAATCGACCAAATCTACATATTAATACAAACAGGGGATTATTAAAGATTCGTAAAGCACTACTCATAAGGTTGATGAAAATTCCCCGACAGCCCATGACCGGTTTCGCCCTTTTTGGGGCTAATCAGGTAGGCGCAATCCCTGAGTTTCCGTCAACCTTATGCACGAAATTAGCGAAATAAACCCATCTTCAAACTCACTCACTTGGAACCCAGATGAATCTCTCGTTTGTGTTTCCATGCAAATGAATGTGCTGCACCACAAAAGAGAGATTCAGCTGTGTTCCGGGTGAGTCTCTCGCAAAACCAAATTAGTTTGCAAATGAGTATATTTCGCTAGAGGGGACCATCAACTTAATCGAAAAACAAAATGAACGGACGGGTCAAGCAACAAGAAAGGTAATCGTGACATCGATGGGTCAGAGGTCATATGGAATGAGCAGATGTCAGACTAAAAGGTCATCAGGAGGTCGACCAATCAGGGGGATAACCAACCATCCAAACGACCAATCATAATCAGAGGCCGGCGGTCCCCTGCTCTGTTCAACATCTAAACACCGATGCACTACGACACACCACCAACTCACAACACACTGAAGATATCACCTGGTTTGGTGAGCATGAATATATCTGCGAGAAACGGGTCTAGGGAAGCGAATGTGGCAACTCTGTCAGTCTCACCGGAATACTTTTTCGTTTAACAACAATGGGCCTATCAAGGGGTAGTGTGGACTTAGATCGCTGAAACCTAAGATCGGATAACTCGCAATTCGCTTATACTCATATTCTGCAGGACTGACCGTTTACTCAATGGCGTTCTGGGTGCCGCCACGTGTACGCGGCCTTTATGGACAGGCGATTTTGAAATTCTTCAGGTTTTCGACCATCGACGTCTCCGAAGCGTTGCTCGTATCGGATGGCGTCAAAGAATCCGTAACGAGGTGATTAGAGAACTAGTATTTAGTGCCCTTGTCTCTGCTTACTGCAGAATTGTGCGAACTGTGAGGTGGGCGACGTATGACTTGGAAAAAGCGTGAGAGTTTACGAAGAATTTAGGTGTTGTTGATGCCGTCAGTCTTCGGTAAAGATTGTCCGTTTGAGAGCTTGGAAGTGTAGGCACCTAAGACTGCACCAAGTTCCTCCTTCATCCATTCTTTTATTTTCATTTTGAGGCTTTATGCATAATTAAACTAACTTGTCCTTCAAATGAATGTGCTGCACAAAGGCCGCCTCCAGGACGGCGCCTATCTGATTAGCCTCACGAAGGGTGAAAACGGTCGCGGGCTGTCGAACAGTTTGTAGCAACCTTGTGAGTAGTTTCCTTAATGAAAATATACTGTGATATCTCGAATATCGAATGAACTGAAACGTGAGGCGACCTGTGTGCAGCACATTCAGTTGAAGAACATCATAAAGGGAGATTCAGTTGAGTCTCTCATGAAAAACCAAATTGGTTTTCAAATGAGTGTATTTCTCGAAAACAGTCCAATTTGGGTTCAAGTGGAACATCAGGTTGTCGGGAACTCGGGGACTGCGCGCCTACCTGATGAGCCCCAAGAAGCGTGAAACCGGTCGTGGGCTGTCGAAGAGTTTCCAGAAACCTTGTGAGTAGTTTCCTTTATAGGTAAATTAACTTTATGATCGTACAGTAGTGAGGTAGCAACAATGATGATGAGCAGGTGAATGTTCCTCTTTTGTCTCAGTCTGAAGTGATCTCGACAGTTCACCTATCAGGTTTCACCTACCATTCGTCGTCGCCCAATCGGACAGCGTGAATTCGAGTCAGTTCATGAACGAACGGACACAAAGAGGAGATGGAGGAACACCTGCTGGGGAACGTGACACCTTTCCTGAAAGTTTAAAATCCTCACTTACTCTTGATTGCACTTTTAGTGGTGATCTTCAGTTCACGTCAAAACAGGCTTTTACCGCATCTGTCTGCTTCTCAGGTGCCAACGTGTTTACTCTGCACGGATTCCGACTGACAACCGAAACGTTTCCCCCTGTTTTTCCACAGGTCTACATCCTTCGATTGCGTCACATGATCATGCTTTGGTACTATCCTGAGCGTGGCGTCCAACGGGCTGCTTGGCTACGCACACACATCCGCAACAACCGCGGACTCTTTCACCGCCTTATTCACAAGTTCCGTGCTGTGGAGGTGAAGCCGGGGCGTCAAAATCCAAAGGTGACCAGATTCGGAAAGTTTCTGATCAGGCATCCGAAAATTCGCGCTTTTCTTGAACTGCTTGGAATCAAACGAATAATGTGCGCTTTCTGTGGTGAGGAGGGGAATCCCGCGAAAAAGGCAGTGTTCGAGGACAACTTCATCCGGTGTGTGGAGTGTGGTGCGTATTTTTGTCGAATCTGTGAGGTGGATTTGGACAGCATCTGCATGGTTTGTCGCACACCACTATTCGCCCTGTCAGTGGAAGTCGATTTTGAGCAGTTCTCGTCAGACGAGGAATTCGAAGCCATTTGTGCACGCTACCTGCGCCGTGCGGAACAGACTACCGTGAAAGCTCAGAAGAGTGAGCGCGGATCACGCATCTCGGCCAAAAGAAGGACGTAGTAAGGCTGTGTAGATGGTGGGAGCACAAACAGCGTGATATAGACATTGCAGACGGTTGGAAACTACTAAACTATCCTCGTTTCTGTTAACCTAAACTTTTTCAACTGCAACGGGTCGGGTTCTGACTACAAAGGTGGATATACTGGAATCTGTCTCAGGCTGATTAGGGCACCGGGATTCGCATGTCAGCCATTTTGTATGTGAGGCATGTGCTATAACTGATATCTCGATGGGGCGTATCTTGAAAATCGAAGAAGCACCCCTGTTACCTTTCAAATCCCCTCATCCACAAAGATGGCGGGATGAGAACAGCCGGGACCAAGCACCTCATTCTTCCTAGAGTCTGATTGTTGAGGTTCCCGATACGGCAATTTCAGTGACACGTAGGTTCGACAATCCCGATTAGCAATAGGGAGAATTGGGTTCGTAATTCTACGGTACTGTTTACACAAGGGTAGGCAAATGTGTACAACAAACCTCAGTTGTTCACGTTCGTAGCGTCAACAAGGTCACAGGTCTGTCACTGACCGGCACAGTGCAGTGTCAGCGTCCGCACACCAAACAACGGCGGTTGCGGTCGTTTCTTCCGACGACGGTCTCGTGATTCTCATTGGGCGTGCGATCACACGGAACTCATGAGAAAACGAGTCAAGACAGGAGGCTCAGCAAACGGGACATGAATGCGCATCGGGAAGTAGGTCAGCAGCGCACATTCACACACAGACACACTTCAATACACAAGTTCGGAAAGGACGACTTCTGCGGCAAGTCGAGTGGCGGGTACGGATAAGCAAAAGAACCGGAGATCAAAAGTGCATTGGCGAAGAAAGCAAATGAATGGGGGAATTATCATAAGGTAAAGTTAGATTCAACACTGATCATGTTGAAATGTACATAGATCTTGCGCCTACCTGATGAGCCCAAAGTGGAAGGGCGAAACCGGTCGTGGGCTGCCGACGGATTTTCAGCAACCTTATGAGTAGTACATTACAAAGATCTTGCATTATTTATGACAGATTGTGGTACAGAAGGCAACCAAATTGCTCTACGAAATGACCCGCATATGAATGGTGAATTTATCCTTCCGCGTGATGGGAATCTCGTCGGTGAGGGAAGTAATCAGAGTTGGAACTAACGGATGCCTGCACGCTGCGAGGACAAACGCTTCGTCAGATCACAGACGGAGCATGCTTGCGGTAACAAACCCTGGTCGTTTCGATTTGAAAGTTAGAAAAAAATTGCAGTAGGAACGCTTTGTTGCGAACGATTGCGCGCAGCTTGTGACTCAACGACCCGATATGAGGTAACGGGTGTTCGGATGTTTTTCTCGAAGGTTCACTTTGAGATTTAGAAGTCGCACCACTCACTTGGCAGCAGGGGACGGGTGTAAGACAAAGAACTATGATGAAGCTTTAGATTCTGGTTTTCCATCGTCCAGAAGAGGTTCCAGTGGGGTCGTTCTTCATTAACAAACAATCTTCATCCCTTCCTGAGCCTTCGATTCCAAGATCTGAGCCACAAGGCAGTGGGAGAAGTGGATGACCTAACCCGAAGGCATAGGGACTAGGATATGCAAGCCTGCTGTTTTTGGATAGAACGGGTGTTTTATGAGTAGCACTGGGCGTTTCTTACGGTGCCTAACTGCCACGCCATACAAAGGAAGCACGAAACCTGAGATGCTGTCAGGTCACCCAAGCCTAGACAGGAGCACCCCGAGATACAAGGTCGGGTTCGAACCACGGACCTTTCCACGGCTAAGCTCTTCCAACCCGTTCTATCGCTGAGGCAGATAGCATCGCTCCTCCACAAGAATAGAGCTGTCAATCGCCTATGGAGACGCGGGAACAATGTTCTGACAGTCTCGTCCAAAAAAAGAAACGGATTTACTGCCGTGGTTCTCGTAGTATCGTTTATCGGACCGTCTAACGTTGACAGTGTTGAAACTAAACAGCGTTTACAAAAAATACACTCATTTGCAAAAAATCAATTTGGTTTTCACAAGCGACTCAATTGAATCTCTCGTTTATGATATTCTACAACTGAATGTGCTGCATACAGGCGCCTGCCTGATGAGCCTCAAGAAGGGCGTGGGCTGTCAGAGTAGTTTCCTTTATGAAAAGTAAACAGCGTTTACGTTGGTTTGTCTCCCACGGAAACCCGATCACTGTGACAGTTTCAAGTTTCAAACATTAGAGCAGATGAAGGTTTGAGCGATGCTCGTGCGATTTGTCGTGTACACAGAGAATAACGACCCAGTAACTGACCGAAAGCTCGTGTTGACCGATAATCCGGTAACTGGGACTCCTTGTCACGTGTGACAGTCACTCGAAGTCAAAGTAGAGTAAGCAAGTGCATACATTCAAACTGATACGAGTTTAGTTTACGCGCCCACCAGATTCGGTTCATGCTGAATCCTCGAAGAAGTGAGGTCGCATCTCCGTCCGGTTAAAACGTCTCAGAAAACACTCAATCTAAGTGGACTAGCACGGGCATTAGGCTCTCATGAGGCTTGGAAATACAGCATATTCATACGTTTCCCTAATAATTTTGGCAGCGGACCAGACGTTTTCTCAGTGTGGCCAACAACTGCGAATCAAGCGTCGCGATTCACGTGGATTTCTGGTTGATTGGGGATATAAATGTGTATACTACTGACGAAACATGCCAGTAGTTTAGTACTTAGTTCATGTTTGCTAACAAATGATTTCGTAGCGAAGGGATTCAGATACATAAAGACCTTCCATGCATATCGCTCTTTTGATGGTCCTTCGGTCATTAGCAACCTTTTTTCTTCGATGTTGTACACACAAGTTGGAAGCAAGAACGCCAACCGATTCCCAGCTCCTTTCAAGGGTTTGATTTCGTGCGGGTGCGCTAGGGAAACATGCGAATGGATCCGCAACGAATGGGGCTGTAAAAAATGACAGTTTGTTTTTAATTTATGGACGGAATCAACGAAGAAGTGACCATCGGGTTAGCCGCGTAGTTGTTTCCCGGTAGTTCTCTTGTTCAACAGCATCTTTCATTCTACCATCTGATAACTGCTCAGCTGTAACACCCTTTCGGTGCCTAGCTGCCATGCTACCATAAGGAAGCACGAGGGCTTGGATACTGCCAGCTTGGCCAAGCCTAGACAGGGGAAAGTCGAGAGGCAGAGGTCGGGTTCTGATAAAACAAAGCCTCTAGGCATTTGCTCCCCAAACAAGGGCATGCGTCTCCAAGAATGGCACAATTTTATCAGGTCCAGAGAGTGTTCTTCTTAGGGTACCACCGTACTAAGTCCGTGGAAGTGATCTTGCGAAAATGCGGAATTTCGCGTGTAGCCCGCCCAAGAGAGCCCTACATCAGTCGCAACCCAGCGTACGAGTCTCCGGAAAAGAGACAAGCCAGGGACCGTACTTCTTAGGAGAATACTGTCTATATTTGATCTCCATGAAAGAAGATAGTATAAGAGCTAAGATAAGCCAGAGGGGGTGAGAAAGCAAGCGGATTTATAGGAGAAAACGGGCGCGTGCAAAATCGCTCAGGTTGATTTTTCCGATATTCTCAGTTGTAAAAGCGCAGCGACTCGATCAATGCTGATGTTGAGCGCGTCGCAAAACTCGGCGGCGTTGACGCGTGTTGAATCTTTCCAAGAGGTTACAGCAGCACCGCAACTGTCCGGCTGAAGGATGTGAACAAACAGAGGTGTGATTAAAAAGGCGAATGGACAGGTGACGGACTGGAGATTATGGACTCCACTAATGGAAATCGCAAAGAAGAACACTGATACTGAGGAATCCGAACTCAGACAAGAAGAACAAAGGAATTCAGGCGATGCAAGTATACCATCCACACTATTTTCATAAAGAGATCTACTCACAAGGTTGCTGAAAGCTCTTCGACAGCCCACGACCGGTTTCGCCCTGGCTTATCAGGTAGGCGCGCAGTCCCCGAGATTCTGTCAACCTCACGCTCTACTTGAAAGCAAATTGGACTGTTTCTCGAGAAATACACCCATTTCCAAATCGATTTGGTTTTCACAAGAGACTCAACTCGTTTCTGATATGCTACACACGCTAAGTTTTGTGGCGCAAGTGAAGTCATTTGGACAAAATAATTACGAGAGCGTATATTGGCTAATTTCGTGCAATTTGGTTTCAAGTAGAACATGAGGTTGACGGAAACTCGGGGGCTGCGCCTACCTGATGAGCCCAAAGTGGAAGGGCGAAACCGGTCGTGGGCTGTCGACGGATTTTCAGCAACCTTATGAGTAGTACATTACAAAGATATAGTTACGAGGTAGTTTAGGGAGACAACCCATCGCCTATGGCTAAATTGATCATGATGGTTTAAACCAATAGATCCATGGACTGTGGTGAGGTGAGAAACTCAGGCTCTACGGGCAACTTTGTCCTGAATGACATTGCATCAAAAGCTCCACAGACCCAGAAAGTTCGCACGAAATGCAATGCTCCCCTCCAAAGAACCTAGGGTAGTTGGGTAATTGCTCTTGTAGGTTTTCGGCCACCAGCTACCATTGGACCTGAAGGGAGAACGAGGGCTGAGATAATACCAGGTTGCCCGGCAGGAGCTGTGGAGGCACTGAGGTCAGGTTCGAATCTTCCGGTTGAGCTATCCGGATCTCTGATTTTGTTCAAAGCCTTGAGTAAAGAGTACCAAGCCCTTGTGAAACAATGACTTCGTTCCCATTGATTAAAAATGATACACACAGTCACATGATCAAAATAGAGTTTTTGGAACCAGGTTGCCGTACAAATCAGGTGATCTGTTGAAGTTGGTGTGCTGGGAAGCTCCGAACACGACAGACTAGCCCCTACTGGCAGCAGCAATTTCTCATGAGAGAACGGGCCCCAATTCGGCGATTCAGAAGCAACCGAATTTCCTCAATAACCCTGTCTATCGAATGTGATGTATGCCCTCTGCGTATTTTCCAAAAATAATCCCAGAGTGTTTGAAACCCGCTGAGACCCTCAAACTTCCACACAATCGTTGTAGGGGAGCCGTCAAGCATGAGGGCCGAAAAAATCAACGTCCTATTGGATGCTCAAGCGACCAATTAGTTCAGCAACGGTGATCGGTGTGCACCGAACGCCGATCAAGTAACCTGGATTCAAGGTCAAAAGCGCGAGACTCTTCGCACTCGTTTGTTTGCAATACAGCTGTTGTGTTCCTTGTCGGCGAGTGTTCTGGAGCGAGGACAGCAGGAGATAGAACCGCCACTCAAGCATACAAATCGAGTGAGATGGAACGCGGGGGGACGATAAAATATGACCGAACCGACAACCTGCAGCGAACGTGCGTTACAAACGCCACGGTATGTACACGCAACTCCACCACCTACTTACCATGAGTCGATATCCCACCCCGTAACCATCGCGGTCCACAGCGGCGAATCCTCCACCGGCGAAATTCGGCGAAGCAAGCGTGCTGGTCGATAGCGTGTGACGGTTGATGAATGCGTAGTTCTCGTCCAGAAACAAATCGGGCAGCGTTCGACCCAACTGCTCTTGGGCAAAGTGCTTCAAGGCGAACAGATGACGATCCCAGCCTGCAAGGAGACGATTCAGATTTGAGTCGATAACCGGGGAATACAAATCCAAGTGAGTGAAACATGGCAGCTGGTTAAAATTCGCCATTTCTGATTCGCTTTATACCATAACTGCAATACACCAATCATCGAATTTGCTCCACGTGGTCAGATCAAAGCATGGGGTGTTAATTTTGATTTGTTTTATAGTAGAGGGTTGCTATCGACTCTAGTTGGAGGCAGCTTTTTGGTGGTGCGTTCGGACATGGGCGAACAAAGAAATTCATCCTTCCTCAATAGGAAGTTATGGTTTAACGATACTACTACTTCCAATGGGAATAATGAGCGACCTCATAGGTCACGTGACATGTGAACTTTGCTCAGCACTAGCCCCGTGAATCAAGCAGTCTGGTGTCATGATAGGCACTCTAGCGGTGCGTACTAGTCAGTTCGTTCCCAGACCTGTTTGTGTCGCCCACTAACAAGCTGTCCTCAGAAGCAGATAAACGTAAGATAAACGTTAGAATCACTGACGAGACGTGACGTTAATCAGTAAAACTCCCTAAGGATCAATAGAAGGATTCAACGCTGCCCCGGACCGCATACCTTGCCCCATAGCCGCTTCCCTCGTCAGGATCCCATGTTTTTTCGAACAGTCATCAAGCGCTTTTTGAAGTTGCTGCTGTGTGACAGAGCCGGCTACTGGTTTGTCCGAAAACCCGGAGGTGACAACGCCTTGCTCGCGTCGCATCAGGTCCACAAACGCGCGAGTTTCCACCGTCGCCGGGCGCATTGTCTCCGTACGACCGTGTTTGAAGGCAGCCGTACTGCATGATTCATAGGTGGGCACAGGCTGTTCATGGAGGATGTTGTATGCGAGCTGTGACAAACAGAGAAAGGTTGTTTAATTCTCCAATCTACGGGAAATGCAGCAGCGTACATAATGAAACCGATATCAGCCAGACAAAGTGAAGAATTCGGTCCGAGAGTAACACTCATTCGCACAACAATCGTTCAGCTGTAGCCCAACTGCCATGCCACCTGAAGGTTGCACGAGGGCTGGGATACTGCCAGGTTGCCCAAGCCTAGACAGGGGTGTCGAGATGGGGCAGAGGTCGGGTTCGAACCATGAACCTTTCGGTCGGAAAATTCGCCCCTCATTTGCACAACAATTTGGTCCTAACGGAGACGAACTTAAATCTTCGTTGGTTCTCTAATTTTCAATGTTCATCAACCGAATGTGATGTACAAAGGCCACCTAATGTTTCAGTTGGCGCGATATTCAAGATATCGCAGTATAATTTCCTGATGGAAATTCCTCACAAGATTGCTAGGAACTCTTCGATAGTCCACGACCGGTCTCGCCCTTCTTGCGGCCAATCACATAGACGCAGTCACTTCAATCAAATCTACGTTCTAATTGAACTGAAATCATGCTAAATCATCGTACAGATCGAA